AACACCATCAGGCTGTTACACCAGACTAACATGGCAGAAGGGACTGGATAACTGTACCTGTCTTCTGAAAGAAAACAGCACTGGTAACTACCTTGCCTTCCACATTACTGGTATTATTGCTGAAGCCAAATATAGGATAACATTATTTATTGATGAATAACATGCATGATAACACAAAGCAAGCACAGACTTAAGTGTCAGAGGGCAAAATATACTTTTCACCTGACATTGCAGCAATGTCTGTATCCTGCTACTTGATTACTTTCCTGGTACTGTGACTTACGCTTAGCAAGCTCATCAACAGTATGTATCATGTGTCCCATTTTCCTTCCCCAGCCTTTCAATTAACAGCATGAACACAGCTGAATACGAACTGTATGTGTATAAGGATTTACTTTTTTAAAAGAAAAATGTTACTTTATGAGCTATGAACATTCCTACAATTTGGTTAGGGCATTTTAAGAAATGAGATGCCTCTGAGAGGCTCAGTGTAAAAAGTATAGGTGTACATTTAAATATGGAAAATTAACCTCTCTCAAAATAATTATCCATGATTCTATCATGTTTCCCTTTATTGAACTACTGCCAGTCCACCAGTAAGTCCTGACTTTCCTAGCTTACCGACTTTGAGAAAATATATTGAGGTAAAAATGTGTAAAGTTGAATCTGCTTATCACTACTCTAGCCAAGGAAAAGTAGTATTAATATCACACTAACATGTGTGCAAACTTGTTACAGAAACAAAACCTGATTACACCACAATCATAGCTGAGGGGTTAAACATGATCCTAGTTATGTCCACGGCAGTTAGCAGAATGCTGACTGGTTTTGTTTATTCCAGACACACATGCAAAACTCTAACAGCACCATTTACTGCTTCACCACCTGCCCTCATGTACCTGGAAGAGCCTTCTTGACATGCCTCTTGATTTTTTTTTCCCCTAGGTTCAATTCCCACCATCCTTGAGAGGAATTTTAGGAGGGATGCTGAAGAATATCAGATTTCAAGTGATTTAACCTACATCTCTTAGTGGAAGGTTTCAAGCTGAAGCTTGAATACAGGCAATTCCAACTCAGCCCCTCCTTTGCTGCATCTGCTGGCCCTGGAGCACATCTCACACCTCAGGGGAAAAGTTATTCTGTGCCAAAGCTGTTTTGCAATGTGGGCAAGACCCGTGTTTGAGGCCTTGCTCCCCAGCACAAAAAAGCTATACACAAAAACATGTGCTGAGCCAGCCCGCAATAGTAAGGCTACTGTCACATACCAACTTAGTAATGCTCCTCTGCAAAAAGAACACACAGCACTGCCTTGTTATGCAGCAAAAGTCTTGGATACTCTGCTGACTTGCATCAGAAGCCTGTCACCTCCTCTTCCTGGAAACTCTGAGTTCTTCAGTGCTTATTTAAAGCAAATAGTACCAAAGATTTCACTGCCATATAGCACACAGTGACTTAATCACTACCTTCTAAATGCCACCAGATATAGTACGGTATCTTATAAACAAAAGGATAAAAACAACACTTGCAAAAACAATACATGATTTTTCAAGAGTTTTTAAATACAATGCTTACCATACTATATATAAAATCGATCAAACACAGCACAATACCCACCATGAGACCAAAAAATTGGGTAGTCTCATGAAGTAAGAATGCAATGATTTCAAATGTAGAAATATTCCTGTAAAACTTGCCTTCATGCATAGCACTAAGACCTTTGCTATCATACATGAGATTATCAGAGGTAGCTTAACTGTACTCAAAGTCACTAACTGAAACTGAATGCAAGATAAGAAATCTCTTAAAGTAACACTAGTTTAGTCTTGAGTTTCAAGCCATCAAGGAAGATGAGTTTTTTGAGAAATATTTGTGGAAGTGTAGCATGTGGATCAAATATTAGCTCTAGACGCTTAGCAGTCCTTCTGTTGGGACACCTCAATGCAAGACTGATAGCAGCTACTACAGAAAGTCCTGAAAGGCAAACATATTTGTCTTAAGAACCACTAAGTGCAGTTACATATTGCAGCAAACTGAACAGCATGCATATTGCTCCCTTATTTTTACACCTCATTGAGCCAAACAGGTTGTATTACACTCAAGTGAACACTAAGAGCAGCTCAACTCCTAATCTACTAACCACCTAACAAAACATTTTTTATCCTACTGACATAATTCAAGGCACACACAAGTGATTTTTAAACAACTGATCAAGTACTCCACCACTTATCATAGGATGTAATTCACAGTATTTCATTAATATTTGTACAAGCTCTTGAACATTTCACATGCTAAATATCAGGTGTCAAGTACTTTGGCTCCAGCTTCAAGAAATAGAATATCCATCTTGTAACAGAATGTTGGCTGCTCTTTATCCCTACACAACTTAGTAGTAACACACCTCAGGTTTGTCTTCCCCCTTTTATCCCACACCCTCATCTCAGAATAGGGAAAGACATGAACAATCTCTCCATCCAAATGAATACCAGAACAATATCTGAAGCTGTTACTCTCCACAATCATTTACCACCTCATCTTTCTAGTCTAGTGAAAATCTAGTAGCCTTCCTCATTTTAGATGCATCAAAATAAATAAGAAATAAAAAGCTTTTAAAAGGTACACAATTATCAAACAAACATATGTAATGTAATATGGTTACTGGATCTCAACCAGCATAACAGGCTGCAAAACTGAGCTCTGTACAAAGAAAAGTGATAGCACAGAACCAGAAAGATTGCAAATCCTAGGCCAAGCTGTGTTTTTAATTGTATTCTACCAAAATAACACCCCAATCAGCCAGTAAAAAGATCTCACAGAACATCAAACAAGATAATTTAAATTCTTGCACTTAACTAATCCACAAAACATTTCCTTCACATCTAAGCAGCACTAACACAACAAAAATTTACAAAACTTCCCAAAGAAATTCCTTCCACTTAGTACAAAAATCACTTCATGCTAATCCTGCAGGTTAATTCTACCTTTTCTCTGTATCAGAGAAAGCAAAAGGAAGAACAAGACCACAGGAATTTCCTTACCTCTTATATCCAGCAAGAGGCACCCCCTATCAAACACGAGGGGCACTTAAATGCCAGAAACTGTCGTCAGCTCTTGCCACTCCAGAGCACAGCATGATCAGCTGCTCTGTGGAGGTGGCACAGGCTTCCTGTCCAGCTGCATGAGGGACCTCTGCGGACACAGAGCAGACTTGGCCAAGTGGAATCTTCCATCAAGTCATCTTACAACGCAAAATGCATGTTGCATTTTTATCAAATTAATTTTGCAAACTGAAGCCTCAAATACAAAGCCATGGGACTTCAACTTCTTACAAACCAATAAATATGTGAACGTTAAAACTACTTGTCATTTGCCGCTTCTTCCATTAACTTACAGAGCCGAAAAAAATCTACCCTTTTG